ACAGTATTTTGGTTTGGATAGGGATTTGGATGGGTTTTGGTAAGCCAGATTGGAGTTAAGCAGAATTTGATGATTGGGGTTTGTCAAATTTTGGTTCTCCAGAGTGTTGTTGGTGTGATTGTGGCTCAACAGATTGTGGAACTCTGGATTGAAGCAGCTGGATTTTTCTTGGCTAGATCTTGATCAGCTGGAATCTAGTTAGCTGAAGTTTGGATAGCTATAACAGGATAATTTAGTATGGATTCTGATTATCCAGAGTTTTAAATGATCCAACCCTTAAAAAGCTACTTGACTGCTGCCCTGCATAAATATAAGTGAGTTAGACTGCCGACCAAATTGTCATAGTCCTGTTTAGCAAAAATGATTTAGTTTCTTCCAACTAGGACTATTTTGTGAAACATTCTTCATCATTAAAATTTGTTTTGTTTAGTTTTGGGCAAGACTCTGTCAAATCATTGAGAGTGAGAATTGGAAGAAGACTGACACCAAGAATGGAGTAACAGTATCACGACTAAGCTTTACACATAACGACAAGGCTGCTGTAAAGGTAAACAGTCTTGTACCTTGATAAAGCAAAAGGTGACAAATGAGCAGTTCCCACCTGCTATCTTGGGATTGTAAAGTTGAGGGAGGTTGGGGAGAGTCATGTGTACTACCCAATGATGTTTTGGCAAGTGGTTTTTTGATCAACCTTAAGATTTACCTTGTTTCTTATTATTTTTCATTAATTTTACTTCATAGATTGAAGGTGTCATCCCTGTACCTCCAGACATTGCATTTGATTACCTTCAGCTTGCAATGAAAAAGGGAGGCAAGGTAAGATGCATGTAATTTTAAAGTTGCATTTGTGCATGTTAGAAATTGTTGACAGAGCTGACATAAAAGATATGGCTTCATGGTAATATGCTTTACACTGAGGGTGATACTACCTGTAGTTCTTAACCTTATCATTCTCAAAATCTCTTTAGGAATTATCTTTACTGTCTGTTATACAATTCTCATGATGTTGGTTTCTTTAAGTCTGAAAAACTCTAAGGCTCTGTGCACTTGAATGATAATCTGTCTTTCTATTTATCCTTGAGAGGTGGAGACAGTAATGGACAAGAAATGATAGAAGTCCGTTTAAGGGACACTGTTTCTGTACCCCCCGGGATTTAACCAACTCGAAAATCAATCATCTTGACTAACTTGTATTTACAATTCCTTTTTTGTTCCAGCTAGACCAACCTTTTCGAGGAGAAGAAGTTTTACAAAAAGTAGAGGGTAAGTAAATGTTTCTTCGTCTTTGAACTTTAATGATGATAGAAAGATTACGCAAGCTGAGTGCAGGTCGGATCAATCCTGTGCAATGAAATTAAGTAAACGTAGTTTTTGCTTTCTAGCAAAGAGTGGAAGGTTATGACCAGACCTTACACGTAGTAACCCATTTTTATTTTCTCTATAAAGAGCAGTTTGTTATTGTTGTTTACGGCGTCATTTGATTACCACCTTGTCGTTGTAGGATAATTTTGGATAATTAACAATCTTGTCGGAGAGCATGGAAGAAGCCCTTGACAATTTTCTGTTATCGTATCTGCAGAGTCAGTTCCACACGCCAGCATCGTATATAATAAATACAGTGTTCCTCTGCCAAGTGCTGCCCCCAGAGATGTATGTCTCCAAAGAATGTGGATACCATCGTACTTAACTAGAAATGGAACATCAGGTATTTGTCGATAATG